GGGGTAGGTGTGTCAGACAATGAGGTTGGCTTAGAGCAGGATTCAGAGTTGTTGTACACAGGGTCACTATGAGTCACAGGCAACTTGACGGCACAAAACAACAACAACTACATAATGAATCATCAGTCATCTAAAGTTGCTATTAATTAACATCATCTATTAGACATACTGCACCACACTCAACAGGGTATGTGCCTACTGAACTGTTTAACTACTCTATTGAAAGAAGAGGAGAAACAAAAACTCTTACTTACTTAAAGTGCCTTGCCAGGTTTTTAAAGCTATAAATCTCTATGAGAGCAGACTCTCATCTCTTTCCCTTAGATCATCTGGTGGATGCAAATTACCAATCTTGCTGTGCATCTCTTATTCTGGACTGTCGTCATACAAATAATGCCTAATTATGTATTCCTTTTAAATAGCTCTTTCCTTCATCACTTCCAATGCAGTGTTCATTATTTATCCCCTCTTTTCTTAGTTTCTCCCCAACATTCATGTCATTCCTGTTTTATAACACTGACACAGTGATGTTATACAGTATTTGTCCTTTTGTAACTGAGATATTTTACTCAGCAGAGTGAACAAGGGGGAGGGAGATGAAAGGAGGAAATTATCCAATAATGAATGGATTTTTTTTTAAGTGAAATGGAGGTGAGGGATTCTGGAGGAAAATGTGTAACAATCAATGAATGAAAATCCAACTTTTCTGCATATGTCATTAAAATCACAATTAAAAAAATAATTATCAATCTTTTGGTTAGCAATGTAACCAGGGCTTCCCCATCATAAGACAACTATCAAAAAAAGAAATTCTGATAAACGTCGATAGTTGTAGAGGGGCTTTAGGCCTTTTGTTCATAGGGTCATGATGAGTCGTGCTCAACTTGAAGGCAATCAACAACAACAACATACAAAATTTCAAAAGTATTTAAAGGATCAGAATTCAGTCTTTAATTGACTAGCTATAAAAGTTACAGTTTTACCTAGTCATTAATATCACAATACATCATTAGCATTACATTTTTTTTCAAGATGCAAATTTAAAACTATTTATACAAAAGAGCCATTAATATAAGATATTGATGCAAAGCAATACTGTATTCTATCTATGCTTGGAAAAGTAGAGGGACATCACAGGAGAGGAAGACCCCAGCTGAGACGGACTGATACAGTAACCAGGGCAATGGGGATAGGTGTGTTAAGAGTCAGTGTGATTGGCTCAAGTCAAAGCAGACTTCAGAGCTACTGTACAAAGGGTTGCTATGAGTCACTGGCAACTTGATGACACATAACAACATGCAACTAACAGCACTAAACAATTAAAATGAATTCTATAAATGAAATATATATACTCATCAGAGGAAAGTATTCTTTTAAACTTATACTGAAAAAAGTTATATATTACTAGTAGGCTAATAATAGTAAAATATGATTAACACAAGAACTTCTCCAAGAATGCTTATTCCTATAAGTCCAGTGGAAAATAGCAAAGAAGATAGGATAGAAATAGGTCCAATATATGAAAAAAAGAAAATTTTATGGAGAAGCCTGAGTTTCCATGCAATGAATAAGATCATCCAATCATTTCAAGGCTTCTATTATTTTTTGCACCCAGGCTTTCTGGGAATGCACAGTTAGTTATGTCTATTACTTGAAATACCTGACAAGGATCAAGTATAAAACAAGAGATTGTGGCAAGAGCAAGCTATCAATGAGGAATCTGAATTATTTATATATGGCAGTTAAATTGGCTTGCTCTCAGTCTTTTACAAATGACTTATCTAGGACCTTTTCCACATTCCTTTGGTTCATACAAATACACCATAGTCAATATCTAATATTTAAATTCCAGTTCACTAAATGTAAAAGGGTTTGCTAAAATGAATTCTACAGATTCCTGCTTTATTAAGTAGCAGATTTATTTCTCTAATATTTTCACAATTAGTCTCTTAAGCTTTCAAATTATCTTCCAAGGATAACAAAAGTTAATGGCCAAAAGTCAGTAAGACAAAAAAACCTAAAAGTTACTAAAAATAATGCTTAAAACTTAAAGTTTATTCCATTTCAATTCAATTTACTATCTTCGAGAACATTTCATAAATTTCATAATAGGCTTTCAAAGGTTTTCTTGAAAGATAGGTTGATGACTAGATGTCAATATATCAATTCTTAATAAAAATGCTATTTTTATATAAATATGTTAAATTGTTAGGAATAGATTAAGGTCCAGAGAATCATATTAAAGTATAATATGTTTACTGTCAGTTTTGTAATAAAACCAGGAACAAAAAAAACCCACAAACCAAAATAATGCTATTCCACTTAAAAATAATGCTTCAGACATACTGATGACAGTTTTATTTTGTACTTCATGCAAATAAAGATCCTTTTCTCTTGAAATGGGATTTCAAGTGTCACTTTAGATCCAAAATGGAAATTTACTGGCAGTTACACATCATTAAGACTAAAATAATCCAAATGAATACCATACAAGTGTTTTATAAAATTATCCATTTCTAACTTGCCTATATTGTTCTTAAGCTAAAAATCATCTATAATGAACATACTACAAATTTAACCAAACAACTATTTTTAAAATTCTCATCAATAAGTCATACTTTAAGGTAGACTTGAAAATTACAAGCTACATTGTTTATGAGTTTGCATACAGCTTATTTTAAAAAATACTGACATGAAAAGTATCTTTGAAGACTGCATCAAAATAAAAAGGGTTAAAATTATATTATTTTTCATGAAAATTATGAGTAATTTATTGGTAGTTAACAGTCATGTCTTAACTATCCTTTATGTTTCAGACACATTATGCACTAAGAGGATATGAACTTGGTAAGATATGACTATCTAGGAGTTCATGACCAAGTGGAAGGAAACACAAAACAAGTTAACGGCATAATAAAGAAAGTTTAAAAAGTGGTAAGCTGCATTTCAATGTAAAGACATATCATAAGCTGAGTCCTTTAATAAGACCAGAAAAGAGACCATGATATCCCACAAAGTCATGGAAATATGAAATTGAATGATGTGCATAACTCTGATGAAGCCAGAGCACATGGTTCATAAGAAGAATGACAAAAACTGAAGGGACACGAAGAGTGAAATCTGCTCTGGATTTCTATGTCGTGCTACAATTAATAAATTCGTCTTATTAACAATTACATCCAATTATCAATAATACATAACAAACAACAAATTTTAAGGAGAGCATGATGTGAAATTTCAAAAATGTGTGTCATCTTCTGAATTGGAATTATCAAGAAACATATACCAGAGCACGGAGATAAGTGATTGGACTAGAGCACTTTGGAGAAGGTAAATTAGCACTAGGAGTAGTACAGTTCAACAAAGATGACAGTATGAATGCAAATAGCATTTCCAGGCATATTTAATAAGTTTCAGTAACCATCAAAACTATGGAAACAAACAAAAAAAGAGTCAAGTAAAAAACTAGCTGAAGATTAACACCCAAACTAGATAAAACTGCAATGAATGTGAATAAAGTATACATGAGACTGGATATGAAAGTATTCAAATTATAAAGTACTCAATAATAACCAGCTATTATCTAATAATATTATATAGAAGATTATGGCACCTTTAGTCCAATGTCCAACAAACAAATTGTAACTAACAAACTTTGTAAATTAAAAGGAAATAAATTACATATGTACACAGAGAGTTTACCTCATAGCAAACATCAGAATGTAGGCATGTGTAAACATTCTGCTGCATCACTAACATGTCTTGGAGGAGTGTTCGCCAATGAGATTCACTGACAGGAGGTTGCCTGGGGGTGGAGGAGAGAACGAGGGAAAAAAGTATTCATGAAATTTCTATTTAATTGGATAGATATAAATAAAATTTGTGCCAGCATCTTAATGCTATGTGAACTCTCAAATGGTATATCTCGTAGGAATTTCCAATATCAGAAAAAAAACAACCTGAAATACAAATGCTGTGAGGTGCTGCTGAGTAAGCACGACTCCTAGAGACCCTAGGGCCAACAAATCTGAATCCAGTCCTATCCTGTGCCATCTGTATCATCTCTGATACACTTGAGCCCACTGCGGCAGTCACTGTGTCAATCTACCTGGTTGAGAGTCTTCTCTTTTGCTGTCTTTCCACCTTTCAAAGTATGATGTCCTCTTCAAGGAACAGCCTCTCCTAGTCATATGTCAAAAGCGAGAGAAAGCTTTATCATCCATGTCTCCACGGAGCACTCTAGGTTCACCCTTTCCAAGACACATATCTTCTTTTGACAGTCCATGGGATGTTCAGTATGCTTCTCCAACATCACAGTTAAAAGGCATCAATTTTTTTTTTTATCATCCTAATTAATTATCTAGCTCTCAACAGCATAGCAAGTAACTGAAAAAACTATGGCCAGAGTCAGGCACTCCCTACTCCTCAAAGTAACAGAACTGCTCCTCAATAATCTGGAGAGACCTCTAACTACAGACTTTCCCAATGCAATACGTCTCCTGATCTCCTGACAGTGGATCCAAGGAAGAAGAAGGCACTGACAATTTCAATCTTTTCTCCAACTATCAGTCCACCAGTGAGAATTTCTGTTTTCTTGATGTAGAGATGCAATCCGCATTGAAGGCTGCAGTGCTTACTCTTCTGCAGCAAGTGCTTCAAGTCATCCTAATATTTAGCAAGCAAAGCTGTTGTCATTGGCATAACACAGGTTTCTGGTAAGTCTTCCTCCAATCCTGTTGCCTTAATTATCTAGTTTGCTAGACTACTAGAAAATATCACAAGTGGATGGTTTTTATAAACTTTTTTTTTCTTTTTCTCACAGTTCAGGAGGCCTCTTGCTGAAGAGAAAGGCTTTCTCTCCCTGTTGATTCTAGAGAAAAAAGCTCTTCTGACCTTTTCTAGTCTTGATGCAACTTGGCATTACTTTCTTTCCCAATTTCCATTTGTCTTGTATGCTTTTAAAATCTTTTTTATTTCGCAATAGAAATTGACTCGAGACATATCCTGTATCAATTCTGTCCCATTACCAAACAAAGACAATACAGTCCCAAATGGGAATATAATCACAGGCACAGAAGATATACAATGCATATTCTGTAGGACAGAGTTTGATCTATAACAGAAAAAAAAAAAAGATGGGAAGTTATACTCCAGAACTAGTGATGATGCTAAAAGCCTTTTTTTCTGTCACAGGTTACTAGACACAAAGGTAGAATACTATGTACCATCAACTCAGAACTGACCCACAGCTGCCCTTCCAGTTAGTTTTTAGAGGCAGTAAACTACACAAGAGAAGACTAACCATCTTTCTACCGCAAAGCAGCTGTTGGATTTGAACTACATTTCTTTGTGTTGGCAATACAGTTACCTACCACTAGGCCACTAGAACTCTCTAAAGCTGGGTTGCATATGCTGTATGAGTCAGAACCAACTCATAGCTAACTCTCCATCAGGTTCTCAAAGGCAGTATATGACACAGGAGGAGATAACAAAGATAAATAGCTATTTCTAATGCACGTTAAGACAAAATACATATGATAAAATAAAAAAAGCACTTGACTGGAGAAATCATTTCAAATTCCATCTTTATCACTCCCTCACTCTCATAAGGCATCTCTTAACTTCAAATAAACAGACTCCTAACCAATCACAGTTATATTTGGCATCAGTTTATAGATCAAGACTACCATCTGTCACCAGGGCAACATCAGTTGTTTCTGTAGCAGTCCATAAGCACGGAGTGCACTAAGCATTCCAGGATGTGTCTTCTTCCCGGGTAATAGTTTAAGCACAAGGAGACAGAATCACAAAGTGTAGGTGCAAGAATTGCCTTACTTCGTTTATGTAGAAGCTTCATGTCCTATGGTAGCATAAATTTCCAGGTCCTCTCAAGGGGCTTGCTAGTCATCACACTCCGTAAAGTTTAAGTTCAAAGTCTATAGTACCTATCAAGTGTTTCTAGTTCCTTTATACATCCTCTAGGCCTGATTCAATTTGCAAATCAGAGGCCATTTTTACAAAAGCAGTTAAGCCTAATAAATTGGGTGATCAAATACCATTTCATATTAAATTTCAAGGTTACAAAGCTAAGAGAGCAATGGATTCCATTCTCTTAAAGCTGTAGAAAGGATTTTGTTAATATTTTCCTTGACATTAACATATTAGGTGGTTAATCACGAGTAAGTTATTTAGTATTTGTGAAGTTGATATTTCATCTGCATTGTCCTGTAAAATGCTTGCCTGTCAGACACTTTTCTAAATCTGAACATTCAGACTAAGACAGACTAGGAAGAAGGACTGGCCATCCAATTCCGAAATAGCAGGGCTTTGTAAACTTTATATATAACAGAACACACTTAGACTAGCATATAGGACAACAGATGTGGAACTTTCAAGTATGGAAATAGTAAGGAGGAGGAAAAGTTGTAAGCAGACACTAGTGGTTAGAACATGGAATGTAAGAACCATGAATGCGGGAAAGTTGGACATTTTTAAAGAAGAAATGGAATGCATCAATATTGACATACTAGGTATTGGCGAGATGGGATGGACTGGCATGGGAAATTTTGAATCAGGCGATCATATGATCCACTATGCTGGAGATGAAAAGGTGAGGAAAATGGGGCTGTTTTCATAGTTAAAAAAGTAACTTTCGATGTGTCTTGAAATATAATATTGTGAGTGACAGGATAATATCCAAACGTACACAAGGAAGTCCAGTAAATACAACTATCAATTCAAATATATGCACCAATAACCAGAGCCAAAGAAGAGGAAACCGATTATTTCTACCAATTTTTGCAGTCAGAGATCGATCAAACATGCAATCAAGATGCAATAATAGTGATGGGTGACTGGAATGCAAAAGTTGGGAACAGAAAAGAAGGATCAGCAGTTAGAAAGCATGGACTTGGTGACAGAAATGAAGCTGGAGATAGGATGACAGAATTTTGCACAGTCAACAGTTTATTCGTTGCAAATACATTTTACAAGAAACATAAACCCAGGCTATACACATGGATTTCACCTGATGGTATGCATAGGAATCAGATAACATCTGCGGAAAGAACCACAGGAGCAGCTCAATATCAGCTGTGAAAACTAGGCCTGGTGCTGACTGTGGAACAGACCACCAACTACTCATATGCAAGTTTAAGCTGAAGCTAAGGAAAGTGAAATCAAGCCCACAGGAACCAAAATATGACCTTGAGGCTATCCCACCTGAATTTCAGAACCATCTCAGGAACAGGTTTGAGGCCTTGAACACTAATGAGAGAAGACCAGATGAGTTATAGGAAGATATCAAGAATATCATCCAGGAAGAGTGCAAAAGGTCATTGTAAAGATGGAGGAGGAAGAAAAGACCAAAATGGGTGTCAGAAGAGACTCTGAATATGGCACTGGAGTGCCGAGAAGCCAAAGCAGAAGGAAGAAATCAAGATATTGTGCAAAGAGCTAGATTCAGAAAATCAAAGGGGCCAGACTCAGCATTTCTTAAACTTAAGGAACTGAAGAGGAAATTCAAGCCTCGAGTTGCAATACTGAAGGATGGTTTGGGCAAAATATTGAATGATCCTGCAAGGATTAAAAGAAGATAAAAGGAGTATACAGAATCATTATACCAAAAAGAATTGGCAAACACAGAAGAATTTAATGAAACAACATATAAACAAAAGCCTATGGTGATGAAGGAAGAAGTTCAGACTGCTTTCAAAGAATTGACTAAGAATATAGCACAAGGAATTGATGGTATACCAATTGACATATTTCAACTAACAGATGCTGCCCTAGATGTGCTCACCAAGTTGTGCCAAGAAATCTGGTGAACAACCACATGGCCAACTGACTGGAAGAGATCTACATTTGTTCCTATTCCAAAGAAAGGTTATCCCACAGACTGTGGAAATTATTGAACAATATCATTAATGTCACATGCTAGCAAGATTTTGCTGAAGATTATCTAAAAATGCCTGGAACACCACATCAACAGAGAACTACCAGAAGTGCAGGCTGGATCTAGATGGGGCCTTGGTACTAGGGATATTGTAGCTAAAGTTAGATGGATCTTGGCTAAAAGCAAGGAGTATCAGAAGAATGTCTATCTTTGTTTCATAGATCATGCAAAGGCATTTGACTGTGTGGATAGTAACAAACTAGATAACTCTCAGAAGAATGGGAATCCCAGAACACTTGATTGTGCTAATGTGAAACCTATACTTGGACCAGGAGGCAGTCATCAGAACAGAGCAGGAAAACACTGCATAGTTCAACACTGGGAAGAGTGCACACCAGGGCTGTATCCTTTCGCCACACCTTTTCAATCTTTATACAGAATAGGTTATCCGGGAGGCTTGACTCTATGAGCAGAAGTGTGGCATCAGGATTGAATCATCAAGAATCTACATTATGCAGATGGTACAACCTTGCTTTCTGAAACTGAAGAGGACCTGAAGCTTTTGCTGTGGAAGGTCAGGGACTGCAGTCTTCAGTATAGATTGACTCAATACCAAGAAAACAAAGATTCTCACCACTGGGCCAATTGGCAGTGTCATAATAGATGGTGAAGAGATTGAGATTGTTCACAGTTTTGGCTTGCTTGGATCCACAGTCAAGACTCTTGGCGCCAGCAGCCAGGAAATTAAAAGACGTATCGTGATGAGAAAGTCTGTGGTAAGAGACCTCTTTAAAGTATTGAAGTGCAAAGATGTCAGTCTGGAGACTAAGGTGTGCCTGATACATGCCATGGTGTTTGTAATCACTTGCTATGCATAGGAGAGCTGGACAATCACTAGGGATGATAGAAGGAGAATTGATGCCTTTGAGCTGTGGTGTTGGAGAAGAGTACTGAATATCATGGACTGCTAGGAAAATGAACAGGTTTGTCCTGAAGAGGGTGAAGCGGGGCTGCTCCTTGGAGGCAAGGATTCTGAAGCTTCATCTGACATACTTTGGACATGTTGCAAAGAGGGACCAGTCCTTAGAGAGGAACGTCATGCTTGGGAGGGTGGAAGGACAGTGCAGAAGAGGAAGACCCACAATGAGATGGATTTATTCAGTGACTGGGGTAATAATGGGGGCAGGTGAGTAGGAGATGGTGAGATTGGCACAGGATAGGGCAGAGTTTAGGGCTGTTGTACATAGGGTCGCAGGTGACTCGAAGCACATAACAACAACAACAAGCTCACTTCATAGAGTTTAATTTAAAATTAAAAGATTTTGATAAAACATAAGCATTGATGTAAGATGTTTCCAAGTATATAAACAACTTTTTAGCTGCACATATTTGAAACTGCAGGATTTTAACATTACATCTTTAAACTTGAGATTTCCTTACTACATACCACGAGTATTAATTTAAACAAAAATATATTAAAAATTTTTCATTTTTCCTGTGTAAAATGGGAATTCAACAAATATAAATAAAATCACTAAAGAATTCAAATATGTCTTTTTGTTTGTTCATTCCACAATCATACATACATTTATTTCTACTGTCTAGTGTATGGGGAGAAATGCTCTAATTCCTATTGCTTCCTTCATAAACATGTCTTTGTTAAATATAAATGTTTAGGATCAATATTTATGAATATTTTATAGTTTTTAATTTCCATTTAACTGTGAATTTCATTGTTTTTAAAGGGAAGATTTATGTTTTTATTTTGGAATTGTCAGCAAAATCATTGTATTGGTATTTCCTTTGTATTCATCTTCTTTCTTATTTTTAATATTATCTTTTAAAATAAACACTATTTCTAAATGCAATTCACTAAAAATATCATTAACAGACTGCATGTGTCTAACAAGTCTCTATCTGGGGTGTGGGGGTGGGGGGAACCACAGAAATATCCTAGAGATCATCCTTGTGGAAAAATGTAGTCTCTAGGAAATTTTTTTACCTAAATTTTTTTAATAAGCACATGCTTCATTAGCCTATGGCATCTTTTATTTATTATACAAAATGAACCATTCTTTCTATTGCAAAGATAAATGAGAACTCTTATTTTTAGCATGTATACAAATAGAACAAACTGTTATATTGTATTTATAAGTATGCCAGAATATAAAAGGACAAAGGGCCATGTGGGAACAGCCATATCTGACCATTAGCAACTCCACAAAGGGCAACCATCCCCATCAAAAACACAAAACCAATTCTCAGGAGGCCAGACATTCTTGTACCTCTTTCTACTCATCCCAACTTCAATCTTATGGTTCTACTGAGCCTATAATATGTTAGGATAGCTCACAGACCACACAGAACCATATTAGGGTAGTCAAAAGGCTGTACTTCAGGTTAGTAGCAGAATACCAAGTCAGGACAGCTGCTGACATGTGCTCACAGGCATCTCAGTCTTCAGCCTCACCACGGCTTTAGTTCAGTGTTACAAAGCTTAATCCTACCAATTATGGCTGCCTCTCAATATGTCCAATAAATCTGGGTAGAGGCTCTTGGCTTGGGTTCTGCATGGGGTAGCAGTCTCAATATCAGCTCTGCCTTGTGTGGGGTCTCTGGTTCTATGCTGGGTCTGCTATGGTTGCTGCTCCCATAGGACATGGTATGGCTGGCACAAGAATCCTTGGTCCCAAAAGGGCACGTGGCATTCTCTTGCATCTTCTCTGCTGTTGGTGAGACACTCAAATTCTGATGTCAGATATGCTCAATTTAACTAGTGAGATTAGCCAATCCTCTTGTGGACTGTCAAGACAAGCCTATCCCTTTCTGTATAGGCTAACACATCCTATTTGCATATTCCCACTAATCCATGTGGCAAAGTCAGTCAAGAGCTAGGAGACCCATTTTGAACAATAAGCCCTTAACATCACACAGGATAATGTTTACATTTGTAAGACCCTGGTGTGTGAGTTTTTTGGTGGATGGGATTCAGAGAATTTAAAAGCTCTTGCAGACAGAGAAATAGAACAAAGTTTAATCAAGTTTATCTTATGCTAGCTTAATAAAACCAGGCCTTAATACTGTTGAGCTAAATTCAATTTCTCATATCCCTACTAGTCTTCTGGAAGCAATTAATATCAGAAGAGACAGTATTAGTGTTTTATCAATCATAGCTAGCAAAAAATATAAATTCTAATTAAAATAAATCATTATTATTTACAAGGCTATTTTCAGAATACAATCTGTAAATAAGAATCATAAGTAGAGCTTCAAAGAACTATATAGGTCATTTGCAAATTAACATAATTACTCTGAGCACAAACACAAAAATATTAGTTGCAGCTTCTGAATGGAGGTGGTTTTTTTAGAGAAAAATTGTATTCATAATGGTATAATTTCATTTGTGGGAGATTATAAGGGATTTTACAAAATTTAAAATACTCACAAAAATAATCTATAGGTAGTGGTGACCACATTATGACGTGAAAGTACTAGGTTTTACTTTAAACTTACTTCTATGACAGATTATGGATAAAGAAGATAAAACTCTTGAGGTAGATGAATATAATCATGAGGGGATGACATCATAGACTCACATATAAAAACTTTAACCTTATGCAATTTGTTATTGACCAGTTACAACTAAATGAAACTATACAAAATACAAAGGATAATGCTTCCCTGTCAATTATATACATGTATCATCAATTAAGTGTATTTATTACTCACTTCCGTCCAGTGTGTCTGGTCAATCTCACCATCAGTTTGTGTGCCTCTTCTGAACTAGACTGAGTGTTCTTAACAAATGAAATTGGTTTCTCAAGTCCATGTTTCTCCAAAAGCTCTGACACACTATAAATAAAAAAAGATTATTTAAAGCAAGAATTTTTTAAAATATATATATATATATATATATATGTAACATTTCATTGTTCTATAAAAGGCAAGGGTAAAAAAACAGCATGACCTAATTTTATATATAGGATAAATTCTCGGCAAGAAGTTAAAAATATTATTTCAAATCTTATTTTCTCTGTAAACGTTTGATAGACTAAGTAACATATAGAAAAGCTAACAAATCTCCATCTCATAACTTTTTAAATAAGATTACTCTAATCTGAAAACAAGTCAGGAAAACAAGCCAAGTCTATCTTTTCAATAACCCAATTTAAGTCTTAACCATTTCATTGAGTACTCGGTTATAAGCAAGAATTCTAAAGGACCCTTAAGAAAAGTAGCTTAAAGTGTTAAGTATACCCAACAAAAATCATCAGAACTAATTCCATCCAAGAACACACTCGATAAAAGCACAATATGTGTCACAAGTTCTCTACTCCCATATAAATTTAATTGATACTGTAGTATTAATAATGTACATATACTTAATGTCTCACCAAATCTCCAATTTATGACTACCAGGTTTCTGATGGTGTAGTGCTAATGCAAAGGCATGTCTCTGGCCATTTATCACTAGCTTCCCGGGAGAAAAACAGTCAGCCTCCTGCTACTGTTCAGATTTATTGCCTCAGAAACCAGATGCAGGGTTGCTATGAGACAAGCCTCTACCTGACAGCAGTGAGCTTCCTTTGAGGCTTTAAAGTTACTTGAAACTATCCAAGACTATTTCATCAAGATTAATTTCATGAGTCATGTTTCCTGACATTATGTATGTTAAAATATTTACAAACATTTTGTAGTTATAAGGTGAAATAAGAATAAGAAGTTATTTTTAAATGAGAACGTCAAATTAAGCTGAATAGAAGAACAGCTGTGTACAATCCAAAACCTCCAGAATGTTCTCTTTCCTTGAGAATGAGACTGACATCATTAATTTTATATACATACACACATTATTATATACATTATCTATACACACACACACACACACACACACACACACACACATAGGCTTTTTTATTCCTTCAAGCTCTTCTTGGTTTCATTAGGGAAACTAGGGTAACTATGAAATTCTAAGGAATAAATAAATCCACATGGATTAAACCCACCAATCTTCTATTTAGATCACAATGAATTTTTTAGGGTTGAAACTGAGGAAGGAAAGGCAGAAACTAACCTACAATACAAAAAGATACAATAACTGGTTCATTTTCAGGATGCACAGTAACAAGAATTAGACAAAATGAAAAAGTTTTCCTGAGGAAACTAAAAAAATTTTTTCATTTTATTAACCTATTATGGTATAAAAAAAAATACATTGCATTCCTTAACAACAGTCTGAAACATTCTTATGCTAAAATTGATTAATAATCAAATTTTATCAATGATCTCAAAATTATTATATTTCAGTATATATCATAATTACTAAAGTCAAGCTTTTACCTATACTTTGAATAATTGCATACTTGATAAACAAAGTTGATTTCTTTTAAAATACTAACAATAACAAAATATCTCAAACTATAAAAGTAAATAATAAAAACAAGATTTCCAAAATGACAAATAAGAAACATTTCAACCTTACAGTTAAAGTGAGACAGCTGAGTAATTAGTGAGCAGTTTAGGTTTTTCATTTTTATAACAAAGACTGTTATTACTAATCTACATCAAGGCTGTAGCAATGTAGGATAAAAAACTAGGTATTCAATCAAGCATACTATGGCTAGAGATGGAAAGTTATGAATTATTACAAACAGTGCTACCTGAGAGAAGCAATTATTGCTATAAGAACATTTCTTGTACACCTCCTATGTAAAGCATTTTAAATGTTTAATATAATAAAAACCTCGTAGGCATTAGCGTTAAGAAAAACTTGGATCCAAAGATCACACAATTAGCAACCAACAGCATCTAGCTTTGAAACTAAAAGTGTGTAAATATTCAAAGCGTGTGGTATTATATTACTATCCTGCCATAATAAGCTAGCGGTCTCTTTACTCCTGAGACAATTAACTCCCAGAAGGATTAAAGAAATACAAAGACAAACTGGGCACAATGAATGCTGCGTAGGTAAACAATGAACACTGGTAAAACATAAAGTAATATTCCTGGGACAGAAGCTCATTATCAACATGAAGTAAAAAGATTGTCATTCTACTAACCTGAGAATTTGTTCCAACTGATCTACCATGTCATGAAGAGCTGCAGTTGCTTTTGTCTTGTATCTAAAAGGATTAGAAAATATATCGGAATTAAATATTGCTAATGGCTTTAAAAAAATATAACTCAATTTCTCCTCTACATAATATGTAACAGTATTCTACTGTCCAGATAAAATTTCAGTTCAGTTTAGATTATTTCATTTCACAAGAAGAAAATAAAATTCACTATTATAGATGAGTAAGAAGCTGTACTCTAATACCAAAGGCACAAGTTTCAAACTCATCAGCTGCTCTGCAGAAGGATGAGCATTCTCCTCATTTGTGATTGATTAGCTGCCTCTGAAAACCAGTTGGAGGGTCAGTTATGGATCTATTCTGACTCTACGACACACAACAACATGACAGACTGAAGCTCTGATGGACTAATGAATGGTAAGAAACAGTGCTGCAATCCCAAAGGCACTCATTTCTAATCCAACAGCTGCTCAGTGGCAGAAAAATGGGTAATCTCCCATATTATTTAATTCCTCAGAAAAGCCAATGAACATTCAGCTACTGAAAAGTTCTGACTCTACAGCAAACAACTTTATAGTCATTTATAATTTTTTTGTTTTGTTCTGTTGGTTTGCTTACAAAGTTTGTATACTTTGTGTTTCACATTCTTCTTCATTCACATTGTATTTGATACAATCATTCTTATGCATTATGTTTTATAAAATTCATCAGCATTGGACCTTGTCCAGCATTACCCTGTCTTTTCACCCAGATCCTTTCCTTTTACATTTTTCCTCCCTCTACCTACTAAATTTCACCTCTATACATCTTCATCTCTGTGCTCCCACATCTAACCCACCATGAGTTCCCATGCAGGTTTTAATAGTTATCATTCTATTTTTACAATAATGGTTGTATGTATTATTTGTCCTTATGAGACTCAATTAGTTTCAGCATTAACCTTTCTAGCCTCTCTCAAGTTATACAGTATTTTTCAAAATCATTGTTCCTGAGTGTTGCTTAATATTCCGTGGTGTGAATGTTCCACAATTTCTCTATCCATTCGGTTGTAGTTGGAAATTTGGGCTATTTCCATGTTCTTGTACTGGTAAATAACACTGCTATGAACACTGGTGTACAAATCTCTGGGTTTTTTTTTCTCAGTTCTAATTTCCTTGGGGTATATTCCTAGAAGTGGAACCTCTGAGTCATATGAAGTTTCTATGTTCAACTTTTTAAGGAAATGTCAAACTGTCTTCCAGAATATGTGAGTTCCCAACTCTCCACATCCTCTCCAACATTTTTTGATAGATTTATTTGCTTACAATCATTATTATTTTTACTATAATTATACTAACTTACAATATTTGCATACATTTGTTTTTCATACCAGATTCTTCCAATTTCCCTCACCCCTCCACCCATCAAATTGTACAACCCCATGATTAATGCCCTCACATATATCCTCATCTCTCTGCTTCCACCTTCCCGCTCCCGCTGGATCCTCATACTCATTCTACAACAATAGATATACACAATATGTGTCCTTGTGGGACTGAATTAGTTCACTCAGCATAAAGCTCTCCAGTCCCTCCAAAGTTAGGTAATAATTTGCTAAATCATTGCACTTGATGAACCCTTATTTCTCAATACATTCAATTGTAGTTGGACATTTGGGCTGTTTCCATGTTCTTGCGATGGTGAATAATGCTACTATGAACAGTGGTGTACAAGTCCCCGTTTGAGCCTCAGTTCTCATGTATAATCATTCTTTTTTTCTGCAAAATTTATTGCTTGTTGCTCCACTAAACTTTGCCTCTGTTATTTTTAACTCTGGCGGCTAAGTGGCAAGAACCTACATTGCAATCCTAAAGGCATGAGGTTCGAGTTCACCAGCTGCTCCATGTGAGAAAGATGGGCAATCTCCTCCTGTGTGATTAACTGCCTCTAACAGCCTGCCTGAGGGTCTGCTATGGGTCAGTTCTGGCTCTATGCTACAAAATAATTTTCAGTGCAGGCAAAAATATTAAAAAATAAGAAGAAAAGGAAACCAATTGTTGTCTTTTTAAAATAACAGGTCATGGGTAAACTAAAATTAATTCATTCTTTTATCCAATAAAAGAGATTAGGAAGTATGGGCTGGCATATTGGTAATATACCTGCCCATTCTACCTTGTGACTCCTTGGGTGTCTTCTATTATAATTTAGAATTTTGGGGTAATTGTTCCATGTCAGTATTTCCTCTTAACATTCAAAGGAACCACAAATCAGATTAAAGAAAACTCATTATATAGGTAATTCTTAGCAGAAAGTTGAAGGAAAAAGGCAGGTTCTTTCTACAGACATTAAGCAGATAGGCAAGTAGGAGAAAAGACAATAAACTAATGAAAACAGGTTGATACGGCAGATTTATGATGGCATAATAGAATCATAAGTGAACACAACCATTAGGAATAAGGGTTTAGCCAATACTATCAAAGTTTGCATTCAACCTAGATGATTGTTGTGTTGATGTCATGGTTGGGACCTTTTAACTGAACCTCTCAGTTGCCCTACAGTCAGCTATATAATTGAAATTCAGTATGATTTCAGTGTCATATTAACAAGAAGGTCAAAAAGTTTGGCAGACAGAGGAAGAGGATGAAGGAACTAGAAAAATCCAGTGGGGACCTGAAAAGATGTGGTAATGGTGGTCATGGATCAATGATTATTAATTTTATAAATATAATATATGGGAATGCTTGTAAGAAACACAATGTGCATAGAAGAAAGTGTAAAATACAATATATATAACCAAAACACAATGTATACAAATTTTGTATTATTGTTGTTGTTATGTGCCGTCAAGTCGTTTTTGACTCATAGCGACCCTATGCACAACAGCCCTAAACCCTGCTCTATCCTGCGCCAACCACACTGCCTCTGACACACCCATCGCGATTACCCCAGTCACCGAATCAATCCATCTCATAGAGCCTCTGACACACCCATCGCGATTACCCCAGTCACCGAATCAATCCATCTCATAGAG